CAGTTGGTTGGTTCCTAGCAGCAGTGGTGGTACAGGTAGCGGAAGTTCGAGGCAGGTAAGTGCTACCCAACATGTAACCTGACGAGGGCTTGCGCCAGTAAAGATAGAGCACCAGCTAATGTCCTACTAGGGCGCTCATTACAACTCAAAGAAAGAATTTTGTTCATACTGGATCCGCCATGGTGAATGCGATTATCAGCAGCAAGGTAAAGGCCCATGAAAAGGAGCGCAGTTCATAAAGGCATAAAATCAGCTAATAACCTTCAGGTTGTCTCTATAAGCACGAGATGCCTAATGACCTCCCCACCTTGGAAAAACTTGGCCTTCGGGATATTCCTCGTTGGTACCGCGAAAAATACGGCATTCCCAGCCTCCTGCCCAATGGACATGGTCATCCACGTTCTCACGCTGGTCATGGTCAGCACTGGAAGGATGATGCCGTGGAGCGTGGTGCTATGAAGTCGATCCAGTACCCTTCCCGCCTGGAGATAAATGGCGCGATCGAATCCTCAGATATCGAAAAGGCTTCTAAGCAGAAGGCTGCTCACTATCTTTCTTCTCAGCAACATGCTACAGGGGCTAATGGACCATCTCGACATGCTTATCCAGCTGCGAGCTCACCCAAGACCTCGACCAACCCTAAGCATGCACACAAGCATATCCCCGGCCCGGTTAATTCAGTGCCCAGAAGGATAGATCTCCTGGCTTTTGATCCCCTTCCAGAATATCCGACCCTGGATCATATGGGAGGAGGTATGAGTGGTCTGCCTTACCCTAGTCCTGCCGACCATGCCGCCATCGAGAACGTTGATAGGGTTCAGCACGAGGAATTTGTTCGCAATCTTCACTCGCTTATGCCAGCCCCTATAGCCACGAGTGCCGACTATCTGTCAACCTCCTTTGAAGGCGCCCCGACCCAGCCGCGCTCCAAGAAAAGCCAAAAGTCGCGTCGTCTTTACCAGCCCCGGTCCCAAATGATTATGCACAATATGAGCATGGAAAAGGGAGAGGTTGACTCCTTCGGTACCTATCATAGTCATGCGACTGCGCCCCCCGGTGCGGTTTCGGGCATCTCCAAGGATACTCCCATCTCTCTGCTAGCGAGCCCCATCCCTGACCCTTCTCATGTGGGCGCCGCTTCCTCAGAGCCTCCGACTCGGGGCGCCTCTCCATCGACTCATTCTGGAGCCTCGTTCTCCTCTGGATCCAGTCCTCGGACTCATCGCAATCAGTTCAAGGGAAAAGATCCCAGAACGATGCAGGCACCCATCGGCACCAAACAAATCAACAGGTCCACCGGATCCCCAGTCAATTATGAATTCTAAGCCGAAGTATTGGGACATCTGCAGGAAATACCACACACGGCGAAAATATTCCTCTTGTCCTCCATCCTCCATATACGATCATGCACTGAACTCGTGGTGGAGCAACCCTTTTTTCCCCTTTCCTTCTTTTTATGGCTTCGACCATGTGGATACGAAGCATTTGGGAAGCTTTACCTTATGATAAATGGACTAACATCTAGTTCAATTAAATATACCTTTCTGCCGGACAGGATGTCATTTATGAATGGGTGGATAGTTTGCAGTACCAAACCATGCTAGGATACCTTGCGTTTACGCCGGATTCAACCCTTTCTTGTTTTTGTGTGTCTTCTTTCGCTTTTGTTGGATGGATTCATCGTTGTATATCCTCGCGGGGTATAGCACGATATGACGACCAGGATACAACAACTGCGCAATGTGAACCTTTTGCGTTTCTTCGAGATATCGGTTTCTGTGAAGTACCTGTGGATAGCTTCTTTTTTTTTTTCTGGTCTTTTTTTTTCCCCATTTAAATAAGCTCGTGTTTCGGTGTATTATAGGGGGGTTGCGACTATAACATGCATACACTGATCCAGAAAACAAACAAAAAATAGGACCCTAGGAATAGGTACAGAAATGGATTTACATGAATGTTTCTCTACATTACACATAAAGAGTTGCCCAGGATTGGTGTCATGGCCCTTTTGAGACTAGGATTGAAAGGGGTAATAAGGTGTATGTATGAAGATGAATGAGTATAATACATTGGATAAGTAAGTCTAATATGACATTGCGATTGCGCCGCTCCTGATATTTTAAGGTTGAAAAGCACCCAGACCAACAGACAGATAAATTGTACACCCCGCATTCGTACGTTGCTCATATTCAGCGTAGTCTCTTCTTCTGTGCTTTACCAGTGACCCGAACAGCAACCTTCTCTCGCTCTTCAGTTGCCTTGGCCCTCAAGGCAGGGTTCAATGCTGGCAAGACCCGGGCCGCGTCGGCGATGACTGCCTTGCCATCCACGATGCCTGCTCTTTCCTTCTCAAGACGTAATCTCTCAGCGCGGCGAGCTTCGATCTGTTTCTTGCGCTCAGGGGTCAACTTCCAGGAGTCTGGGAACCGGAGCTGGGTCTTCGGCTTGTGGTGGCGGAGGTCAAGGGGAATGTCGGCGAATGCGTCTCCTTCCTTCGCCTCTTTGATCAATGAATTTACGGTATCGGCCAGATAACGCTTGTTCTGAGCACGAGTGGTAAACTTCTCGCAGGACATCCGTACAATGTCAGTGTCGGGGTTGTACCGCGGTCCAACGAGTTTCAGGAACGTCTGGCGCTGTGCCTCGGAGAGATGCTTGGGAGTTAAATCCTGGGAGCTCAGCTCGACGACGACCTTGTTCTCGGCGGGGTGCGACTCGCCCATGTATGTAGTGTAGCGGAAGCGGAGAATGTGGGATTGAGGAGGGAGGGTGAACGGCTTGGCAAGTTCTACCGAGGGATTAGCAGAGATGAGGAACGGACTGGGACAAAGCACTTACGGCTCAGCAATGGCATATCCCAGGCGGCAATTCTAGCGTATTCCCTGATCTCGCGGTGTACTTCGAGTTCCGCATGGGCCATCGACGTGATATCGTCGTCGTTGAACTCCTCATCAGCGTCCTCGACAAGGCCGAATTCATCGTCTTCCTCGTCACCCCAGAATCCAAGTCGCTTCTCCCGCACATCGTCAAACCGCATGGGATATTCCTTCTCGATCTGGTTCACGCTTTTCTCGAGCTCTGCAAACGCAGCCGCTCGCTTCTGCGGGTCATTGAACTCCTCCACAATCCGGCGGTTCTCAGCGTCGAATTGCTCCCGTTCTTCGGGCGCTAGCATGTCATACATCGATCGCTCCTCCTTGGAAAGTAGATCGGGGGTGTACTCGGCCATAGCAGGCAGATCCTCCGGACGAGGTTCTCGGGGAGCAGGCGGCACTGGCGGATCTTCTGACACGAAACTGGGCGTAGTGGCGGAGAATGAGCGGTATGGGATCGCAATTGGGCCTCTCCGGGCCACGGACAAGGCCGACCGGCCCAGGTATCTTGCTGCTGAGGCCATTGCGATGGGAGGATGTTAGACTGGGGTTTGCTTGAACAGGACTCAGCGATGTTTTTCTGCGGATTGAAGTTCGCACGGAGGCACTAAGCCCAATTGGGTGGGGTGGTCATCCACCGCCTTACGAGCATTATCAATACAGATGCGCTGATGCGATACGCGGACCAGCGATGAACTGGTCCGGTCGAAAAAGATTAACATGCTTCTCCAACCCAGGCAGATTGTCGTGCAATACTATTTGCCAAAGACAGGTCCTTGAAACCTAAAGGCACCAGCCATGGCTTCGCAAGGCGCGAACCACCCTATGAAGCTATGCTTCGTCACGGTGGGAGCCACGGCTTCTTTTCATTTACTTCTGAAGGCCATATTGAATGATAGATTTCTAGCTGCCTTGCATGAAGCCAACTATACGCATCTCCTAGTTCAATACGGGAAGGACAGCCAGACTCTCTATGAAGAGCTTCTCAGCAAATATCCATCTGGGAGCCCGAGTCGGTACGGTATTGAGATCGACGGGTTCGATTTCAATCATGCAGGACTAGACAGGGAGATGAGGCTTGCTCAAGCAAGTCCTGACGAAGGTCGAAATGGAGGATTGATTATTAGTCATGCAGGTAATTATTGCGGTCTCGTCCATGGATAAGATTGTGAGAGACTGATATCGATATGAAGGATCGGGCAGTATCCTGGGTGCACTACGATTAGGAGTGCCACTTGTGGTTGTTCCCAATACAACCTTGAAGGATAACCACCAAGTGGAGCTGGCCCGTGAGTTGCAGAAGCAAGGATATGTCATTGCTAGCGGATATCAGTATGGTATCCTGTGAATTGCCCCGTTGATTACGCTGATCTCTTTTCCTAGGGAGGTGTCTGTTGCTGTAGGGCACGCAGAGACACTACGAGCTCGCATGCTGGCTTGGCCGCCTGTCAATGGAGCAAATCAGAAACGTCATCGCACGCTGGAGCAAGTGATGTCGGATGAATTAGGCTTCTTGGATTAAATTCATTCCCCACCGCGGTACCTCTGCCATGAAGGCATTGTGTCTGAACCTTCTGCTGTATTTTTGAAGCTTATATACTCGTACCTGTGGGCCCCTCAAACGAAGTATACGATCGGTTCGAGCAGGCTTAGCTGCTGGAAGTGTTGCTTTACAAGTCTTGTATGCTGCGCAGATGTCAGCTTTATAATTTCTACAAGCTTAAATCAATTGAAAAGACGACTTTAGTACCGAGACCAAGAAATTGAACGAATCATAGATCTATTTTTGTGGTAGCGATTGATCGTTATAGTTGTAGTCCGACGTGGCCCAAGCTCCACTGATTGTTGACGGGCACGGGAAACATGCGAGACCCCAGATGTACGCGAAAGTTGCAGCCAGGAACATCTCCCTTTCTGCACGCTTCCCTCCCTCAATTTCCCCCGAGTTTCTCGACACCAAGGGCTCCAATTAATTACAGGTTGTCGGAAACAATTCCTCCACCTTAGGACCTACGTGGCACAGCCTCCCCGGCCGTGGGGCCTTCTGACAACAATCGCGCTTCACCCAAACACCGTCCCTTTAATCGCCCGCAACTTACCCCCCGAGGCACACCCCTCGCTCTCGCAATGGCTGAGGCCACCCTCCATAACGCCCCCATTGTCATCGACAATGGCAGCGGGACAATCCGCGCCGGTTTTGCAGGAGAGGAAGTCCCTTCATGTTTTTTCCCGTCGTTCGTCGGTCGGCCAAAACACCCGCGGGTGATGGCCGGCGGTCTAGAAGGAGATGTCTTCATCGGATCGCGAGCACAGGAGTTGCGCGGCCTGTTGAAGATTCGGTACCCACTGGAACACGGCATCGTGACGGACTGGGACGACATGGAGAAAATCTGGCACTACGTCTATGAGAACGAGCTGAAAACGCTGCCCGAAGAACACCCCGTCCTCCTGACCGAACCACCGCTCAATCCCCGCAAGAACCGCGATACGGCGGCCCAGATTATGTTCGAGACGTTCAATGTGCCGGCTCTTTATACGTCCATTCAGGCCGTGCTGTCGCTGTACGCGTCCGGCCGGACGACCGGTGTGGTCTTGGATTCAGGGGATGGTGTTTCCCACGCGGTGCCGGTGTATGAGGGCTTTGCGATCCCGAACAGTATACGACGGATTGATGTCGCGGGACGAGATGTTACGGAACAGTTGCAGTTGTTGCTCCGGAAGAATGGACATGTGCTGTATACGAGTGCTGAGAAGGAGGTGGTCCGGAAGATCAAGGAGGAAGTGTGCTATGTTTCGTTGGATCCAAAGCGTGAAGAGAAGGAGTGGATGAACAGTTATCATAAATCGGAAACTAAGGCCGTGGACTACAGGTTGCCTGATGGGCATAAGATCAAGGTTTGTCTCCACATCTACGATTTCTTCGGGTGGTTTTAACGTCCAGTTAGATTGGTCAAGAACGCTACCGCGCTCCTGAGATCCTTTTCGATCCCGAGCTGATCGGCCTGGAGTATCCTGGTGTTCATCAGATCGTCCAGGATGCGATTACCCGCACAGACCTGGACCTGCGCAAAGATCTATATCTGAACATTGTCCTGTCGGGAGGTTCGACGCTATGCAAAAATTTCCCGGACCGACTGATGCGCGAGATCAAACGATTGGCTGTGGAAGACATGAAGATCCGTATCTCTGCGCCAGCCGAACGAAAATATACGACCTGGATCGGTGGAGGAATCCTGGCTGGTTTGAGCACGTTCCGCAAGGTAAGCCCGCTGTCACTTTCAGTAGGATACGTTCAACCACCTTTCTCTAATACTAACACAAAAAACCTCTAGATGTGGGTCAGCGCGGATGAATGGCATGAAGACCCGGAGATCATCCACCGGAAATTCGCCTAATGCTGCATTCAACCCCTTGAACGCAAGACAGCACAAGTGACGCTAGTCATCCACTGTTCGCGAACAGCGACACAGTGACCGACCCAAGCTAAACGCACATTTAGTGATGTTACTGAGAAGTCACGAACCCTCGATAGAACCGTCAGCTGCTGTTGTCCGCAGATGAGCAGCAGCTTTTGATACCCCTCTTTTTTCTCACCTTAGCACCCCCCCCTTGTGATATACTCATGGCAGATGCTGCCATACCCTCGTATCATCTCTATTTCTTCACCCACCAACTCACGCACACACACCCCATGTCCTAGCGGACATGCTCGATCATCCATCACATTTCTCGCCGGCTATCATGACCACGGATGAATCGACTCGTGTGTTTCTCTTCTCTGCACCTTGTCTAATTGTTATGTCTGACCCCCTATGGTGTGGGCGGTTCGAATTGAATTAAGCTGTGTAAATATTGGGATAGATAAATGAATCTGTATGAATTGCAGTCTTGATCGGCATAAGTACATTAGATATGGACAGGTCTCAGTTTGCAAACAGTATATTAGTGCCTATTTGACTCAGTAGTTTAGAGGTACTAGACAACTTTGTTCAGAAGAGCGTGCTTAGTCCACACGTATACAACTCAAGCACTAACTACTACGACATCATATCCATCCACACAATAATAGGCCATACAACAAAGTATTAAAACCCCCACCACCCAGTCTAACAAGCCAAACCTCCCCGCCCCCTTTACCCCTGAACACAACCTCTCCAAGGAACTACTATACCCACCCTTTAGGTCCAATTGCCCGGTACCGCGGGTCTCTGCGTTTCTACAGCTGATGCTCAATAGGTCAGAAATGACTTGATATAGTAATATTGTCCATATGCAGAGCTATGTATACTTTATCCAAATACTACATACATGGTAAGGGTTCTTAGATCAGGTGGCCAAACATCCAAGAAATAATACCAAGATACGAGAGTGCATAGTGCATATATATGACCTGAGTAACTATACCCAGTTCGAACCCCCGCAGTAAGGGGTGTGTGGATCGTAGATCGTCATGCCACATCGATTGCTCAGGGGTACACATACCAAGGGGCGGAACATTCTGAAACATCCATATAGTCTACAAGAGATACCTCTACATCTAGAAGAAAAGGCAAGGAGATGAAAATGTGTGTTCGAACTTTCTTGTTCCTGTTCATTTTATGCAGGGACTAAAGCTGCGGTTTCCAGTTCGGAAATATAGTATATAAGGTAAAGGACGTACAAAGCCCTGTTGCCGATTCCAGAACCGGGCGTACATATAGATAATGAAGACATGGAGAGTGAAGATGTGTTGAAACAAGGTTTAATGGTACCCTGAACAGGCAGTCAAGAAAGTAAAATGCCGGTTGGCAATTGGAGGGGGTATCAATATCGACATGGGAGTCGAGAAATGGCGCAAGCGAATAGCAGCAAGTTAAACAGATATGCTTCTTCGTGGAGCAAGCGAATTGGTGAGATTAAAAAGGGGTGTTGAAGTAGGTTTCGAGAATCGCAAGTGAAGTTGGAAGAGGAGATTGAAGAGATGTAAAAAACAAAAACTTTTTTTGGGTTGGTCGTAAGTCGTGAGTTTCATGGTCGAAATGCGAATGCGAGAACGCTCGAACCAAAGGACGGTAAGCTGTATGCGGATGTGTCTTGCAAATCGCCCTCTATGCCATTCCTCTCAACTTGCCCCAGCCCTTCTCTAAGCCGCGCAGGGCCTTTTCCCGAGTGGAGCTGGTCGAGCCCGTGCTACTTGACGTGGCATTGCTGCTGATGGAGAACTTGCGGCTCAGGGTACTCCCGTTGTCGCTGTAGACCATGTTTCCGGCACCACCACGGCCGACGTGGTACACTGGAGCGGCGCGACGGAGGTCCCGTTCGAGTTCTTCATCGAAGCTGAAGATTGCGCGTTCACTGCTGCTGTGGACGTTTCCTGCGCCGCCACGGCCGGACTTGTAGACCGCGGGGACGTGAGAGTCCAGACGTGTTAAGGAAGCTGGACCGGTGGCCGTCTGTGAAGGAGTGGTCGTGGTGTTCTTCAGGCTGATGATGTTGCCAGCGCCGCCGCGAGCTGTATGGAGAGCTGGGCGTGAGACGGAAGGATGGGGCTCAATGACCCGGTAATTCACTGATGCAGGCATAATTGCTGTATGACTGTGTGGGGAGAGTGTATCTGAATAATGATCTAAACTCGATGACTCAATGATGGCGGATATCAAGCGGGTCGCTGGATATAGTTGTATAGTAAACGATGGACCGGAATGCAACGGTACAAGGTACAATTGAAGACGGTGCAATTAAGAAGTTGAGATGAATTCACGAGAAGAAAAGAAGTGAGAAATGAATTGAGAAAAACTGTTTTCCTTTTTCTTTTTCTTCTTTTTTTTTTTTCTCTTCTCTTTAGCTGATGGGACTAGTACTATAGACTGGTACCAGACATTGCGGCGGGGAAGGTTTTTATATAGTCAGGAAGTATGACCCCCAGTGTTACCAGGGAAAGAGGCCAAGAAAAGCTCGCAATTCCCCTGTTGTGCCGTGACGAACGCCTATGATTGCACCATTGGCTGCCGTGACTCTTTCCAGGCACAGACACTTTGGATCCAAGGGTCACACGCAGTCGCTGCGCGGTGGGTTGGAATTGTGGAGCCCATTTGTTGTACTCCATATTGACCGAAGTTATGACTTTGGGAATCATGGGATGAGCAATTAAAAAAATTATAAAAATATAAAATTAACTAGAAAATAGTAAAATTCTTCCCTTTCTCCATCTTAGGTAAGCTGACTACCGACCAACCACAGTCCGGCACGAGTTATGCGCGCGGTACGGCGCCATGATTTTGACAGTTGGTTAAAAGCAGCGGCAGAATCAGGCGGCTGTCTGAACCAGTCATGTTGTCCATTGGGGGCATTCCGAGCGATCTATTGGAGGGAACGAGTTCCACAGTCGCTTGATCCACGCTGCCGCTTTATGGTCCTTTCTGATCATCTGACATGGGTCCTAAGCCGTGGCGAAACGTAAGAGAAACTGGCTTGGCGGCCAATAAGGGGCGGTGGCGGCTCACATGGGAGTTTTCTGGGGGTAATGAAAATTGCTGACTCGACGGTCACGAGTCGTCACCTTTTGTTGGCCTTCAATTGCGAAAGTTGATCCTTACAGTATGTGAGACTCCTTGTCCTCTTGGTTCAGCCCTGAATTTTGCGGTCAGGACGGGATTTTGCGTCACTTGGGAGATTCTAGATGAGTTCTATGCTACTAGACGTTGCCGAAGACTATAGGGAACTGCCGGTCATAGTCGTACTCTGTACATTGGGGAAGTGATTTCCCTCCTAATGAGACAGGGACAGGAAACTATACAACCCTAATTGTTATTATGATTTATTTTGATTTATTGGGACTCTCATGCCTCCTTCTCGACAAGGAAAGAACTTCCCCGCAAAAGGGAACCGGCAGCATGATTGCATCATAGCAAATTTTAATCTTGCCTTGCCATTTAAACTCTCCAGCTTCTCATACTACATTCCAGGTAAAAACAGATGCTTCTAGATTATACAGAAAGAATGGAACCATCCCTGTCATAACTCTCGTCAGTTCCTGTCTCCGGAAGGAAGGGCGGCAATATCCGCACAGAAATGCCTCGAAATCCGAAGGTGATGCTCAGGGGAAACGAAACGGTCTGTGATCTCCAGTTAGGGCTAACAGACGACTAGTAGTAGGACTAGTATTGTTACTATTGTTACGATGGCATGGGGCTGATCTCAAGAAACACCGATCTGCCTCTCAATAAATCACTCACTCACTGTACGTACTAGTAACTACTATGTACATTATACATAGTCCATAGGTATCTAGTCCCCAGTCCAGACTTCAGATCGGAGACACTCCCGCATTATCACATCATCGCATGAAACCACCCCCGCACGGCGAGCATGAATATCATCATGTAACGAGATGCGACTGGAATTGAGAGGATCCACGGATATGCCAGGCTAAACCGAAAGCAGGCAGCTTCCCCAGACTGTTGAGGGCTGGACTTTGAGACCTTTGTCAGAGAAAAATGACGCTGACCCAGAAATGCCTCATCCACTGACACGCCCTTGAAAATTTTTTCCATTCTCCATCCATAAGCCCCACTGTCGCAAAACGCTGACTGGTTTAATCCACCGACCCGGTCGAACCGGTGAGAATACCCGGACTCTTTTGGAAAAAGCTGATCCACTGGGGGGGAAAAAAAACTGATCAGGAAAAAAAATTCGAACTGCCGGAAAAAATAACAAAAAATTGAATCTACGATCCTTCCCCGGATTTTGGCCCCAGGCAACCACGCTTGCAGGTCACAGTGTCACGCATCGCATCAACCACGGGTTTTGACTCTTCTGTCTCTTGTCACGTACGTCTTTTGCAGGGAAGTAAGAGTAGTACTGGACCAAGTGTTCCAACTCCCAAATTCAGGCCCCCTTGACCAAGAATTTTTGTTTCGCTCATGGCCGCCTGACATGACGTCCCGGAGGTCACTTACTTAGTACCTCGCCCCTCGGTTTGCCTCGGATGTTTTGCACCGAATGGCCGTGAAACCCTAGATCATCTGCAACGTCCCGGTACTTCCCCCAGCTCGGATCTCCAGATCTGATGCTACACGACACGCCGAGTATGATTCTTCATCATTCTGGAGAATTCTGATGCCTACCGGTTTGCCTCTAGAAGGATACCGTTACTTCCACTAGGGCCTTTCACCGATACGTCTTTAATATGATTTATCTTTTATCTTTTCTGGGTGAAATAGCAGCCCATGAAACACACTTACCACCGAATATGCAAGTCATATTGTAGGGAAAACTCTAAATTTTTGACATATCATCCCCAGTTGTCGACTTGAGGGAACATATACCCAATCTATATAGCTGAATCAAATACCAGAGTGTTACATTTAGCAGAATCTTACCTAACAAAGCTAACCTCTCCGAAATATGACAACAGCAGCAAGTGTGAGATGGATCGGAATAGAGACACATGGTAGCATACGGAATGCGCGAATGAGAATCACTGCTCAGGCTTATGTCTCGCAATTCGATCTCATTGACAAATGCCAACTGCACGATGCCAATCACGTCAATCACAAAGTATTAGAAACGAGGGGTATCCCCTCATTCTCCTCGCGTCTTCGGTTATGAGCAATGTGGTGCTTGTTTAGATTACCGACTCCGTCGGCGCCCGATTTGAATCTCTAGTGTATATGCAATGCAAGCGCAGGGATGAAATGGCTTGTCTATGTACCCAAGTCGTTAAATAACGCAATATCATATCTGTGACGACATGAGCGGAGGGTAGTAGTAACGAAGAGAAGAAGCCAGGGCAGAGGAAATCCCCCATTCAGTAGAACAGCATGAGCGGGTCGCTGGAGATGGATGCATTCCGTAGGAAAGCAAAGACCATGATCTGCACAGCCCTAACTGACTTATTCCCCTAACCTTCATTGCAGATTTCTTCCTGGCCACCCAACCTGGGGAAGGAAAGGAAAACCACGCAGAGCAAAACTGAACCCCGCGGAAATACCTGAGCTAGCAAATATACATCTCGTTGTAATGGAGTGGGCTGACAAAAGCTAGTGCCACCAACTTCAAGGCAGCTTCTATTCTTAAGACTAACCAGGGTAAACTTGACGAGCTCCAGAGCTACTATCAAGATGACAGCGTAGCTTGTGTTAGCTTTATCCTGCGAGCCATAGCGTAAGACTGGTGATGCTTGTGTATATCACCATGATACTCAGCATATTGGATCGTCCATGGTAATGGCGATGATCTTGGTTCGGTCGAAGAACGTGTCCATATGTCTCATTTTCGAGGAATCATGGAAGCTGTTTTCCTCGGGTGAACTGAGAAGTTTGAGTATTTGAGTAGAGCTTCGTGCAAAGTGCGGTCTAGTTTAATACCATTGTTCGGTGTATCTTTCTGTCCATTCTTAATTGATACATGAGCCAGAGCTACACTTTCGATGCATTCAACTGATGAATCTAGTCCTGTAGCTTCAGGCGAGATTCTAACCGAACTCGTAGGCTACGTTAGGGTATTTATATGCCCAAATAAATAACCCGAGCAAAAATCGACAATGTTTGGTATATAAAGTTCGAGGTATTTATCTCTAGACCGAGCCACAGGTTTCCCTCCGAGTCATCATGGTTCTATGATGGCCATTTCTTCGAGCAACGAGATAGAATTTTTTTTTAAAAAAAAAATATCACAATTGACTGTATTAATTAATGGCAGTACGTACAATTGGACTAGATTGGACCAAAACGACACTAAATTTGGAAATGCAAATCCAGTCCTCAATGTGATGCAACTACGGAGATAAAGCGAGTTTCAGCCCGAACTTCGGCATATTCCAGCTGAAATCCCCGGGGTCCGGAGAATAAGCAGTCTAAACATCATCCAGACTCATACTCCCTCAATTACATTTCCTGTTTTTATCCTCGTATTACCCTCCTATATTTCTAACTTGAAATGGCTGCTCATAACAGGACAACCTCAACACTGCTGCCACGTAAACGCCGGCGTCCCGCTAAGTCCTGTGAGCAATGCCGGGAGCGTAAGGTCCGCTGCGATCTCCAACTGCCTTGTAGGGCTTGCCAACATGCTCGGGAAACTTTGACTTGCACGTATAGAGAATTGCCGCGGCCGAAACCATCTCAGACCGATGTCCGGGCAGTCTCAAGAAGTCCGGACATACCTACGTCAACTCCCACTGAGCGGGGTCAATCTCAACAACAATCTCGTGCCTTGGGGAGCATATACTCCACTCAAGTAGATCGACGCGATGTAGCCAATACAGGGACAGAAACGAGCGGCAGTCTCCTACAGGACTTGGAGAACCGCCTGCGTAAAGCCGAGCAGCAATTGTCCGAACTATCTCAGGCTCGAGAATCCTGTGCTGTGAGTGGAGACTTGACCATTCCTCCTACCATGCCTCGTCTGCGAAACACTGCAGAAAAGACGAAGCTGTTTGGACCGAGCCACTGGATGTATACTGCTGAGAAGGTTGGTATCTAGAAAAAACCCTCAAGAAAGCCCCGTTGGCTGATCTGTTGTAGCTTGCCAGCGGTCAGATAGACTCAAAAGACATGGATCTCAGCATGGTCGACATGAAAGCAGATATAGCAGATATGGTTAAGGAATGCCGGAACTTACGAAAGGCTGCAAAAAGCCAGCGAACATTGCAACTCAACGATCCTGTTCCTGACCTCTTAAGCACTTTTCCTGAAAGGCACGTTTGTGATGAATTGGCAAGTGCTTATATACGGACTTTCGAACAAATATATCGCGTTGTCCATATCCCTTCTTTCTGGAAAGAGTATTATCAATTCTGGGAAGCACCACATGCATCATCAACGTCATTTCTGATCAAACTAAGTCTTATCTTCTCTATCGGCACAACTTTCTACCCTATCCTAGGAGAGTCGGAGCGTCTGCGTCACTTGGCGCAAACGTGGATATATGCCGCTCAGTCGTGGCTGGTAGGGCCTTCTGAGAAGTCAACGAGAAATTTGGACGGTATTCAAGTTTTCTGCCTTCTTCTCGTGTCGCGAAAAACAAACACCATTGGACCATCACCATGGCTGTCTACTGGTTCTCTGTTAAGAATGGCTATGACTATGGGATTACACCGAGACCCTCAAGTCTTTCCAGGTTTAGTGCTGTTCCAAGCAGAGATGCGGAGTAGGCTTTGGGCGACTATCCTGGAACTAGTAGTTCACGAATCTATCGACTCATCGTCAATGCCGCTAATGATTTCGCCTCGGGACTTCGATGAACATGTGCCTCATAACCTCAATGATGCGGATCTGTGGCCAGATACCAAGGAATTCCCTACACCAAAGCCACTGAAACAGTTTACAGAGTCCTCGATTCAATTATTGATACGACAGTCTCTGCCAATCCGTATGGAGGCGGCCAAGCTGATCAACAGCTCTGATTCAGGGCAGTCGTATAATACCGTGCTTCAGCTTGCTACAGACCTACAAAACGCCTGCCGTGATCTCGCAGCCTACTTTCAACTGCACTGGCCACAATACTCAGCCGAGACAGCTCTACATAGGAAGTTCACCGATATGCAACTTCGTCGCTATATCCTACTGCTTCACCGGCCCTACATGTTACAAGCCCAGCAGGATCCACGGTTCTACCTCTCTCGGAAAATCTGTGTGGAGTCGGCTATGATTATCGCATCATATGCTGAGAGCCTTCAGCTCCCTTCCCAGTGCCTTGATGACCTGTCACGTCTCATGGTAATGAGTACTGGTCCATTTTCCGGTTCTCTTCACCTCGACGTCATTACTGTTCTAGGCCTGGAGGTAACCAGTCAGCTCAAAGAAACAACTACAGGATCATCAGAAACCGGCCAGCTCATTACAGACCCCTTAGCCGAGATGTCGAAAGCTCAACGAGGGCCTATAATTCGCATACTGGAGCATATCAACGATCAGATGCTTCAGATTGTTGCCCTAGGAATTGCGAGGTTCAAGCGGTACATCTTTCTCTCAGTCATACTTTGTCAAATACGAGCATTAGAGTCTGGTACAAGAGAGATCCAGCCGTTAATGATCAAAGCAGTCCATGAGAGTGCGAAGAACTGCTATATGACGTTCCAGTCGTCTCAGTCTATCAGCACCCCACAGGGCTCTATCGAGACGTTGATCTGTACCGAGTCGCCACTTGGGTTAGATTTTGACCTTATGGTAAGTGGGAGGCTTCACCTTCTGGCAGCGCAGTTTCTGACACTATTAGAACCCTAATCTGGATTTCTCGACATTCTTTACTCACTTTAGTGGTGGTGGCGGTGATGGAATATATGAGATGAGCTTGTAGAAATGCTCTATTCCTTGACATCGGTTCGAAACGACGTACGTAGCCTTATTAGAACGGTAATGAGCTGCAACTTCCTAGTTGAAATTTATATGATAGTTAGTGAATAAGAAGCAAAGAGTAAATAACTAGCTGCCACTGTTGTATGGAAACAATTCCTCAGAGTGTGAACATTGTTGTCAGTAAAGGCAATAAGGAGTATTAAACAATAGGAGTCACTGCCAGCTTAGCTAGTTCTATGTACAATTCATCTTAGCCTTGAACTTCCTAAATCTTTAACTTTCGAAACCTCCTCGTGATGCTGTAATAAAATCAAATCATTTTAAAGCCTTATACATCGGGTGGCAGTTCATGCCTCAGGCATCTAGTCGGCCCTACGTATTCTGCCATTTAATACCGCCATTGTATCTCCGGCGCATTGGAACTCCGCTTCAACATCCAATTTCGATACAATTCTTGTCTACGACCTTCTGAGCGACTGTCAAGCCGGATTGACCTCCCGAAGGCATCATATAATCCGCCACACTACACTGCACCTACAAACAGAGTTAATCTGATCCGTGACCAAACCAAAAATCACGCGCAACGCGCCACTTGAGCGCCGCCGAGTTTAAGTTTCGCCTGCAACGTTCAAAAAGCAGTGCCAGTTCAGATTCCCAAGATGCCAAAATATATGTAAACCCCTCCCTAAGCTTAACAGATCTTACGGCTAACTATCTGTGCACTCTTCTGTAGGTTCTTGCCTCTCCAAGCCGCAATATCTGGGATGTCCTTCAAGCTCGCCATCGAGCAGATGTAGCTTTATATCGATAATATCATCTCCAGTCACAACTTTCGCTGACTCCATGACCTACCTCCGCAGGTGATTATTGCGATGTGTACCTCACGCACGACTCGATGAGCGTGCGCAAGGCGCACAATGCAGGAAGGAACCATCTAAGGAACGTGTTGGAATACTATCAACGTACGTTTCGTTGTCCATCAATATTGAGTCAAATCAGATGCTCACCAATTCCGTACAGAAATCGGACAAGAGAAGGCCCAATCCGTCATCGACTCCATCACCTCGTCGTATGCCGCCGAAGGCCAGGCCGTACCGAACCCCGCGATGGCTCCTCCAGGCGCCTTCCCCCCTCCATTCCCATTCCCTGGTACCCTCCCACCTTCCACCTATCCCAAGAAACCAAAGACTAATATGGGACCCCAGGACGTCCAGGCCAACTGCCACCTCCTCCATTCGGATTCCCCCCGCCAGGAGGACCAAATGGCGCCCCGGGCATGCCTCCTCGTACGTTAACCTCCCCCTCCCTTTCCTTCAGCCAATCAAAAAACCGATCTATTAACATCTGATTTAACACAAATAGCCCCGGGAGCAAAGGGCCTCCCTTTCCCACCTCCCTTCCCCCCAGCATCAGGCGCTCCAGGCAGCCTCCCACCTCTCCCCAACATGCCCGCAGGAAACGTCCCCTTCCCCCCACCACCAGGCGGCTTCCCCCCGAACTTCCAAATCCCAGCCCCTGGCGCTCCCGGCTTTCCCCCAATGCCTGGTGCCGTCCCCGGCCAACCTGGTTTCAGCCCCGGCTCTACCCCCGGTATAACCGGTCCCCCAGGCCAAGACGGCGGGTATGCGCCCCCGCCCGGTGCAGGCTCAGCGAATCTCCCCGGGCCGCCGCCGGGATTGGGCGAGCCTCGTTGATTTGTTTCGTGGATGGATGGGAATGTCTAACTATTGGGTTTTATGTTTGGGGTTTATGCTGCAAATTTAAACTATACCTTGCCTTGTTGCTTTTCTTTATCTTATTTTGTTAAAGTTGTGTTTCTACTAGAGTTCTGTTTCCGGCGTGCGGACTTCGGTATATGGTGTTTTTCTTTGAAAAAAACTTTTGTCTACTGAGAACTGAATAGTTGGGAGAGAGCAATCAGAAACAGTATTATGGTTATGTTTACTATTATTAGAGCGTGGGTTCTGGGATGGACAAATGCCTTGGGGCACTGATACGTCTTCTTTTAAGTGATATGTAACGTCCAATGTCAGGATGTTCTCTACTTGAGTGAATCACCAACAGTGGTTGGTTTAGCCCTCTTCTATACGCAGTGTACAGGCGTGTCCACAGATTCGGTGTCTCTAAATCACTCGCAATTCAAATACCATACGTCTACTGACGTGAGCACTAGCATTATGATTCCTTTCATGCATGAAATCACAAATAATACACGGGGACATCGGCTCAGGCCGATGGCAGCCCCCTGTCTTAAGATATATAGATCACATAGACCGCAAAACCCAAGTCCCAAATCTCCAAATCCAATGCTTTAGAACGCCGTGTAATAACAAGAAAGAAAATCCTGGTAAGGTGCAAAAGAGGGCAAAGGGTTATATAGAAGTAAATAAAAAAGAAAAGAAGAAGCGAATTTTTCTGTATATCACAGTATACGGAAAAGGAACATTGGTTGAAAGAGCAAACAGCGTATAGAGGGGAAGAACACGAAATGCACCTGGTGCAAGACAAAGTGGAATCAAGATGGCAGAAGACCCACTCCATTTACGCGCTAAGCCGTAATTCGTCCCTAGCAAAGCGATAAAACATTCATTGTATTCCTTTAGTGATCATATCCTGCTCCTCTTTGCCATGGACTGGGGTTGTTCTGTGCCCTATAAGCGTTGGGGTTGTTGAGCGGGGAAGCAGTGTAACCTCGCGGGACCGGTGACGGTGACCGCGCGTTGTAGCTGGGAGGCTCTTGTCGTCCTGAAGCGTCGCTGGGGAATAGTGGTAAGGAAGGATCAACTGGAGAAACAGGGGGTTGGCGGGTATTGGGCGGTTGATCATGGCCGTGCACATCGAGGTTTTGACGGTTGATACTGGCTCCGTTGCCGCTGGAGAAGGAACCATTGTCATCATCAAATGGACTAGACTTGTAGGATCCAGTCTTGACATCGCCACGAGCAGCGGCACCCAGGGCATCCAACTCAGTCGTCAGCTGGCCCTGAGACTTGATGAAAGAGCCACGGTCGTCCCTCATAGGCTGGTACCGCATATCCGGGTTCTTTGAGACAATTGCATAGATAGAAGCGATCAGCACCAGGAGCAAGAGAATCAGAGCGAATACGGCATTGATCACGAAGAAGACAACGCCCATGACACCTGTTACCAGGCCAGGTTGGTTGAAAACTTCGGAGAAGAAGAGAAGGAAAATGACGTTGAGGAAATTCACGGCAGCGATGGAGATGTTATAGATGTTGGTCTTCTTGTCCATCCATGGCCGCAGAACACTGACGGCAATCAACATACCGGCCTCAAGAATAACCAAGGCAACAGTCATCACAACCGGTGCTTCTTGACTCAGACCAATAAACATGCCTTTAACAAGGATGTAGCCCAGAACTGGAATGACAAAGTAGTATGCAGTCGCCCGGTATTGCACATACAAGAATCCCCATTTGTTCAGACATGTAGGGTCAGAATAGAGGATGTATGCAGGGTTTTTATGCATGGTGATGGAACGTTTTGCCAGAAGGATGACCTTGAAGGCAGCCCATCCCAGAGCGGCGAGAATAGAAAAGAACATGATCACAGCTAACACAACCTCAGCTGCAGAGTCATGCTGGGTAAATTCCCACAAACAGAGGACGGTCATCTGAGGGAAACCGATTAAAGTAAGTCGAAACAAAATACCGCGGGCGACAATCTTCCAACCGTTACGGAAATCCTGGAACTTATCGGTCTTCATCTTGCCATTCTTAGCAAGGACCTCACAACCGGCCTTGAAAAGTGAGACGAGGATCATCACCACAGCCACGAAGAAAACGAAGAAGATAAGTCCAGTCAAGAAAATATTAGTCGCCTCAATCCCGGCCTTGAACCCAACGCGCTTAATACCGCGAACAACAAGATTCGATGTGTTGGCTGTCTCGGATTCAGCACCGGAACGCTTGAATATATCTGATGCTTTCTTGACTAAACCCGTGGCTTCGTCGAGCGTTCGCTTTTTGAGCACTTGCACAGACGTTGTCGAAAGCTCGGAAAGTGTCGTTGAAGGTGTTCCTCCAGTCGATCTTTGATACCAGGTACAGATACTTTCCAGGAATCCAATATGGATGATACCCATACTCCACTGGAAGTTTTGGGTCCATGCCTCAACAATCGGGGGCATATGAACAGATGTCATACCGATCATCGCCTGGGATTGCATAAAGCTGAAAAGTGAGAGTGCATTAGCCGCCACATGCGCGGCGGTGTTTGAATGCCCTAAGCCAGAAGTAATAGCAGAAGCAGCTAAACCTAACCCGGAGATTATAGCTGTTGACCAACCGACCCCTTTTTGGTAAACTGTCTTGCCATTTGATAAAGAAGCCTCAACACACGCGATGCTTTCGCCAGTATCGGTGGAGTTGATATAAATACGAACGGAAGCATCAAGATCGGGAACTGTGTATGCAATGCCTACGTGATCACGTTAGTGACAATGACCGTTCCCAAGCAAAATAGTTCTGTACCCACCTGGGATACTGTTCACTACATCTTGCGGAACATCGATCGATGCCTTCGGGACATCGATAGGTCCGGCACTCATAGGGCATAGACCTCCAATGTTCATCTCACAGGGGTCGAGTTCTTTTTTAAGTGCCGTGTAGCCATACGCATCAAGGACGATTTCCGCCTTGACTTTACCCGAGATTGCAGCGACTCCATCGAAACTGAAGACCAACGACCTGTTGTTCGGTGTAAACGTTACTTTGAAAAGGGTTGCCGTGAAGTTCGAACTGTCTTGGCACAGGTTAAGCGCATTAGATTCGATCAGCTTAGTCGCGGTTACTAGTGGTGCGCTCAAGAAGGCGAGCAGCAGAGTGGACAAAAGCGCCTTGAACAGCATTTTCGTGATAGGAGTACCGGCTTCAACTCCTCCGGCAAATAGCGAATGTGAACTTTAATGGTTATGAGCGAGGGAATGGGAAGACACCAGAAGCGAGATCGAATAGAAGGTGGTACTCCAGAGCACCAGCTTGGGACCGGCCGGATGCGGAAGTCTCACGGTACACTGGGTCGTAATCTTGTGCCAAGTCGTTTAAAAGCGAGAGTGAGGAAGGAGGTATCCAAGATGGCGGAAAGTAAAAATTATTGTAAAATAGCTTCCTATATTGGTTACAACTTCACGTCATTGAAGAATCACTGGGCGGTAAATTGATGACCACAGCGACTATTCATTAAAAGCACAAGAGAGGGACGAGGGTGGGAGAACAAAAATAGTTGAAAAAAAGAAGGCACCAAAGCAGCGATTGATAAAGAATGGAAGGAGTTAACGAGTGTCAGATAGTCGGGGGAGTTGTAGAGAGTTGAATGCTACAATAAAGCGAGCGGGACGGCGACACACAGTATAGCCTTGAAGGGGGTCGGGACCAGGGGAGACGAATGGTTGCCTGAGTCTCCCAGGAACGGAGAGGAGACCGTTCTCACTCGGATTGGCGAGGAGAGTTTTGTGGGGAGGGAAGAAACGAGCGAAAGGGGAAAAGGTATAGCAAAAGGGAAGGGAAAAGAGAAAAGAAGAAGATGGAGAGATGAAGATGCCCTCTCTCTTGTCTCCTTCAGGCGACGATATTTCTTCAGGGGAGAAGAAAAGCCGCTCAGCCCCGGTTGGAGGAGAGACGGTCGGAATGCTGGTGAAACACCTGACGCTGAGACCCTGACTCAGCACGGGGGGGTTTTGTGATTTAGGACGTCGGAGCCAATCACAATTGGCGTAACGATGGTCTGAAGAATGGATTCTCCTCTCCCTTAACTACTCGTAGTAGCAACAACTAGACCTAATGTATGTATGTATGTGTGTCTTGAAGCACAACACTTCTGACATCAACCGGCTGGGCTCGAAAGAAACGAAGGGGTGAAGTATGGGGAAGCACTGAAGGGGGGCAAAAGAAGAAATAAAAAAAATAAAAAATAAAAAAAAATAAAAATGAAAAATTCCGGAAATAACAACCAAGAAATGAGAATGATGCCAACACAAAAAATTACTACTACCACTACTACCCTGCAGACAAACTTGCCATCTATGCTACAAATTAACTCACCTTTTGCTCTAAACAGACAACCAGTCGAGTTCTCTCGTTCACTTTTAACGTTTTCTCAGTTCCAGTCGGCGCACGCGCGTCTCTCAGGGGAGGGGTTGGTTCTGGGCCCGCATGCGGATGGTTATGCTCATTGCCCACGGTTCATACCTCTGATTTGCTCACCACGAACGGCCAAGAGAACCTAGTTAGCGCCTGCAAAAAGGCTGGGAATGGGAAATGGTCCCAAGACCACCAGAGGATTGAGAAATTACAGTCATGACTTGACCTGGTGGAGTTGCATCTCCAGATACGACACTGTAAGAAGTAGGATAAAAAAAAAGCCAACTTCACAGTAGTAGTATGATCTGTGGATCTTCTTGCCGCTCGTCTTACCCTATTTTCTTGCGTTCGGACGCTGAGGATAACCGCCGCCGTCCAGTCAATGAACACATCGACTCTGGAGTACCTATCGACTTTTTTTTTCCTTGCCTTGTCTTTCTGCCTACTGACATCCTTCGCGCTTCGTAGGACTGGGCGACTGCTGCTTCACGGGTTTCTATTAATAACTAAATGATATCTCACAGTATGTACACTGTACGGAGTACATCAGTGCATACTGCTAGATCCACCAGTCATTATTGGCCCTGTAAGAGATGCAATGAAAGTACCATTGCATATGCACTCCATACTCCATATGCTCATAACGTGGGTTTAACTTGTATCGAAGCTGTCAACCATTCGCACCTCATGGTGATCTCCCAATCGATGTAACATACGGAGTACACGGTATATCAATATCAAGAGGCTCATCTCCGCTCTCTTGTCGACGTATTCGTAAATTTTTTTTTTCACTTTCTTCATTAATTAAACAACTCGGCTAGGGTTGAGATTACCAAGAAGGTTACAAGAACTAACTAAGTGGCATTCTGTTCGTTAGTCGACAATGCACAGCCCCTCCCAGTCAAAAACAAGGGCAATCAGGTTGCCCTTCTGAATTACTCAAGAATGGAAATTTGGTAATAAAATTGTCTTGGGCGTCAATTGATTCATTGTACGGAGTAGATTCTTATTAAAATGAGAACAACAATCGCTACAAGTTTCTTTGAATATAGATAAAAACCCTGGCGATGGAAATTTCCCCTCCTCCATCCCTGAGGTGATCAGCATTGATCATCGTTGCCTCTGCCATCATCGGAATGCGTGTCATGACGTCTTGACCCCATCGGATCCTCATGATCGGACACCTGGGGAACGCGATGAGTTGACATAGTATTTCTCTCCTGTATTTCCTGGTTCATTAAAATTCTTGTAAAGTGAATGAATCATGACCCCGTAATTTCTAGGGAAAGTTTTGGAAATGAAGCTGATTTCTCAACCATGGGCGGTAGGTGTTTCCTATTTTTAGTACGGGGTCTTTTCTGAACCCAGACCGCGAAGAACTTTTCCTGTCACACTGCGTCTTGGCCACTAGCTTCACCATTTACCTCATTAGTGGTCTGTTTCATACCCATTCCGATTAATCTAGTTGAAATACTCCGTACACCCCTCGTCTTCTTTATGAGTGGCTTAGAATCTCGTTTTAGATAAACCGCCGGGTGGGTAACCAACTAATAACTACATATTATAACTGCCTAAACGGACTCCCTGAAAATAGCTAGACCAGCAAGTTCATCTCTATCTTTGCTGCGCTGTCCTTGGCATTATCAACACTCATCAACTCAGGAAACACCAAATTCGCCATTGTCCTTGTGGCGCACATAATGTGTCAGATCGCTTTTAGGTTATAAGTGCGTTTAACTAAATCCATTACCTAGATAGGCGAACCGGTTCTTTGTCGCGTATATAACGTAGAAATCCTCGAACCGCTGAAGGGCCACGGCTTCTATTTTGCTTAGTCCGCTCCCAGGCCATAATTCACTGATCTTACCGGTGTTGGCATTTTTGAACCAGGATCGACAGTCGTTCTCCCAGATTGTGGTCGTCATGAATATGTCCTTCTGCTCCATGAAGTCATCGACCACTTCCATTCTGAGCTCGAGGGTGCGAACGTCCTCTTTCTACCACCAGTTGAGAAACTTGGCTATATGATGTCCCTGTGCCTCAATGCACAAGATGAGGGGTGACTTGGCAAGGGGACTGTTAGGACCAAGTAACATGAAGTAGTTCGGAAAACCGTGAGCCGCGACTCCCAGGTAACTTCGTGGTTCCTTTTCCCATACTTCGGCAAGGTTGGTGTCATTGCGGCCTATAAATAAAAATGCTGGTCGCAAGCTGGTGTAGAAGCCTGTAGCACAAACCAAAACATCAAACGCATACTTACTATCGTCTAGCATTATGCCGCCAGATGGTGTTATCTCCTTGATACTCTCAAGAACTGGCGTGACGTTGGGCTTTTTGAGGCTTTCCAGGTAATCCATACTGGGCTATAACATCGACAGTAAGATATGTTGCTGGCGAGGTAGGTATCGGAGAGATCAGCTTTTCTGCAAGGGTATCATCACCAATCGCATCCGTCATTAAATGTTTCGATCTTTGGGTGGCTGCTTGCTGGGATATCGTATTTTTTAAGGAAGAGAAGCAGAAAGGTCGCCTAGCTGGCCTCGGAATGTCTGCTTCTCTTCATCTGTGTACCTATGTTGTCCGTATCTCATTTCTGGAATCACTCAGGTCGTTCCGCGCATGAAGGCTATGAAATGTCCTACAGTCCTTATTTGAGCTCTTAGAGATGTAACGTACAAAGATACCTTAACTTACCTTTGAAGCTCAGGAAGCAACTGTATACCGGAAGACCTAGCAAACTCAGCAACTTGGGGCCGTGAACAGGAAGGAGCAACTAGCCTTACCCATTCCCAATCAACCCGATCCGCGTTCCAGTCAACGAAAGATTTATCCCAGCTTGCGGTATGGAGTAGTCATCCAGTGAACGTTCCAAGGCCTGGTATAGAAGGCCAATCCAGGGGCTTAAATAGCCAGCGCCATATACCAGGCAGCCACACCTTTTCTCAAGCACTTCCTTCATGGGATTTTCAACTTGGACATTCCACTGTGAGTTTACATCATCCCAATTAGCAATCACCACCCCGAAGGTTGCAATTGATAAAATCACGAAGACCATGTTTGTCCGCAAACCCGGAGAAGTAGTTATGAATCTCCGGCGCTGAGGGGTAACTAGCTAACCAGTCCCATTTAGGCTCAAAGGAGTAAGTATGCATGTGCTTTTTCCATGAGTACTCCCTTCTACCATGATGTATATGATCCCGATGGGACGTCACAGGTGCCTGGGCCTGGTTATCAAACTTTGCTACTCGTCTCCTGTAGATATCATACTCACATCCGGGAAATCGGTTCTCGAATCATGTTCCTCCGATATCTTCATTCGTTCCATACACTTCCAGCGTATAGTCTATAAATGACGTCTTAAGTTTATGCAAGATCTAAACCCGACGGCCCTGCTCTGATACGGATGACGCGCATCATGCGATTGGCAAGGATAGGCTTATATACATCTAGTAACTGCCCAGTACACATGCTCACTCCTGATTCTGACCATAGTGCATCCGCCGTTTATTCCTGAGATAATCCAGCTATGAGCGTTCTCATGGCGGTTATCTAAGTAGGCAAAACAATTCGGAAAGCAATCATTACGATATATATATATATATTGAAGCTCTTAGAGGGGTATCTCAAAAATTTATATGGAAAATATTGATCTGCACGATTCTGTTCACCCGGCCGCGACGGGAATTGTTATTTGGACCTCACACTAAGCCTATATAGAGAAGTCAAGCGAGCCATACAATTAAAAAACACACTAGTAAAGCCCTTTCAAATATAATATTCATACAAACCAACGTAGATTAGTATACTATAAAAAAAAATACTTAAAATAGATTTTTTCTTTTTCAAAATAATTACTTATATTATTAACAATATATTAATTTATAGCTAAGGATCTCTCTATTTATTATCTAGATTAGATTGGTAATAAGGCTACTATAAATTATTCAAAAGGCAATAGATATATACAGCCGCTCTTACGGGCCCGGGGGAGGAAAGAAGCCTGCTACCTGCTGCGGGGAGTTCTACATTCCTATTCTAGAATAGTCTGGTTTAACTAGCAGTATTACCAATACATAGTATTATGCCTTCCTATATAGGCTTAATGTGAGGTCCAAATAACTAGCGTGAGGTCCAAATAACAATTCCCGGCCGCGATACAATACTTCTTCATACGGAATAGCGCCATTACCACATAGGGTAGTTTCTGCCTTATTAGTATGGCTCATGATTTTCAGACCGCCCAGCTATCAGTGGCTATCAGCACGTGATGCGGGAAGTTTGGCCAGGCAATATTTTCGCTCCGCAAAAAATTGTCTTCCGCCGAGAAAAAAAAAAAAGGCTCCGCATCCCACGATTTTCATTTGGCAAGCTTTCCAGGAAAAACCCCCTGGAGGAATTTTAGCCAAAATGCCGATCCCTGTGGACACCGCTCAATCTATCTCGAAGAAGCGCAAGAGAAAGCATGGTGGAAATGCGCGCAAGGAGGAGGCTGCTGCCCCGGCTGCGACTGAAGCCGTGACCGATTCTCCCGAAAAGGAGGAAGTTACTGTCGACAAGAAGAAGGCGAAGAAAGAGAAGATCAAGAAGCAGAAGGTCGAACATATGTCTAGTGATGACGAGAAGAAGGATGCAGAGGAATCTGAGCAGGAGGCCTCTGACAATGAAGAGGAGAAGAGCGATGTTGAAGAGACACCCGCCACCAACGGTGAGGATCTTCCTTCTGCCGATACGATCCGTCTGCCCCAGCAGGATGGCGATCCGGTGAAGTTCACGGAGCTGGGATTGTCGGAGAAGACTATGAAGGGTATCGAGGGAATGGGATTCGAGACGATGACAGAAGTTCAACGGCGTACAATTCCTCCTCTGCTTGCTGGTCGCGATGTTCTTGGTGCTGCAAAGACTGGTTCCGGAAAGACCTTGTCCTTCTTGATTCCTGCCATTGAAATGCTTAGCGCTCTGCGATTCAAGCCGAGAAACGGTATGTTCTACGCATTTTTATGTGGTTCCGCTGTTTTGTATACTAACTCCTGCGTTTTGGTTAGGTACTGGTGCCGTTATTGTCAGTCCTACTCGCGAGCTTGCACTTCAGATTTTCGGTCAAGTTAGGGAACTCTTGGCGCATCACAGCCAGACCTACGGTATTGTTATTGGAGGTGCAAACCGGAGAGCCGAGGCGGAGAAACTCATGAAGGGTGTTAACCTTCTCGTGGCAACACCTGGACGTCTGCTCGATCATCTGCAGAATACGCAAGGATTTGTATTCAAGAACTTGCGCACTCTTATCAGTATGATGACCCTCTTTAGCATTACAAGTGGGTGAATGGAGTGACTGACTGTTGACAGTTGACGAGGCGGACCGTATCCTGGAAGTCGGTTTCGAGGATGAAATGCGCCAAATTGCCAAGATTCTCCCTTCTGAGAACAGACAAACTATGCTCTTCTCTGCGACGCAGACTACCAAGGTTGAAGATTTGGCTCGTATCTCTCTTAGACCTGGCCCCCTCTACATCAACGTGGACCATCGCAAGGAACACAGTACTGTTGAGGGATTGGAGCAAGGTTATGTCATCTGTGAAGCTGACAAGCGTTTCTTACTCCTGTTCTCTTTCCTCAAGCGCAACCTTAAGAAGAAGATCATCGTTTTCCTGAGCAGCTGCAACTCTGTCAAGTACTACGGTGAATTGCTCAACGTAAGTATATTTATTTTTGGTGAGCAAAGGCTTGTAGGCTAACATGATTGAACTATAGTATATCGATCTCCCTGTGCTTGACTTGCACGGAAAGCAGAAGCAGCAGAAGCGGACCAACACATTCTTTGAGTTCTGCAATGCAAAGCAGGGAACTCTGATCTGTACCGACGTTGCCGCCCGAGGCTTAGATGTATGTCAATTGCCTTCCTATTCAGATGTTTATCTCTGTTACACCTGTCTAACTTTCTCAAGATTCCCGCTGTGGACTGGATTATCCAGTTCGACCCCCCAGATGACCCTCGTGACTACATTCACCGTGTTGGTCGTACAGCCCGTGGATCCAACGGAAAGGGACGCAGTCTGATGTTCTTGCAACCCTCGGAAGTAGGGTTCTTGAAGCATCTGAAGGAGGCTCGAGTACCCGTCGTGGAGTTTGACTTCCCGGCTCAGAAGATTGTCAATGTTCAGTCTCAACTGGAGAAACTCATTGGTCAGAACTATTATCTGAACAAGGTAAGCTTCGCTCATTCAGACATCATTTCATGTACCTATACTAACGCATCCGCAAATAGTCCGCTAAGGAAGGTTACCGCTCCTACCTTCAGGCATATGCCTCCCACTCTCTCCGGTCCGTCTTCGACGTGCACAAGCTCGACTTGGTTAAGGTAGCGAAGGGCTTCGGGTTCTCGACCCCTCCCCGCATCGATATCCAGCTCGGCTCCAGCCTGAAAGACAAACAACCACAGGGCCGACGGAACTACGGCAGCCAGCCTGGCTCGAAGTTCAAGCGCAAGCATAATGATGACTGATTCGATCTAGTAGAGGGAAAAAGCAATTGTCTTCCTTGCATGTTTTTTATCCGTTGGCCTGGAGTTTAACCTGGATCCTTTTTTTTTACCTATATTATCATCATGGCATATCATATTTCACTTGCCTTCATACACCAAAGGTATGGAATTGTATCTAGATACGTCTTCGAATACCAAGAATTACAGCATTCAACCTCGTTTCCCTTCCGGGGCTACGTAGGTCATCCTATGGTAGTAAAATTGACAATGCGGCCGCAGGTGCAGGGTCAGCCATCTATTTCTGTACTTTTACAAATCTCTGGATACGACGTCCCCCGCAGCCAGAGGGGACTCTTACGGTTTATTTTCCTTACGAACATATCATGCGAATTTGGTACGATCGTCGGATCATAAAAAGGAGCAAAATGAGAAAATCCGACATGCCTAGAGAGCCGCGAAAATTAAACACTTTGATTAACTCGATGCAGCATTTAGAGCAAGGGAAAAAAAAAACCTAACCGTCTATACAACCAATCCCCGGCGACCGAGTTCCGGCTAAATAACGAGGGATGAAGACAGTCCAGATAAGGGTCAGCGGAACCAAGGATACAGAGCTTTTCCGTTCCACGGTTCGCGTAAGCAGACAGCATACATAAATATACTACTATCCTTGGGTAATGGCAGACACCCGCGTCTTGGAAGGTTGATTCGATGAATGCAAACTACGAATACTAGTCTATCGTGGTGAGCCGAGCAAGGGCCGGGTGGCTGGTCTGGTGGCTGGGGAGGTTGATCCCCCACCAAGTAAAGTTTTTGTCGGGCGAGAGTGAATGGATTAAACTCACGGTTAGTAACTTTGGGGGGAGGATCGAGGATATCGTGTTTAAATGCTCGATTGGATTGAAAAGACAAAGTAATAAGGCATTGTGCCTAAGGCATGACTGAATTCTCATTGCGACCAATCAATGACACGGGACGACGGACATTTTGTCACAAGGAAGGACTATGTGATGAGTTGGCAGCGGGAGGGCCAATGGAAGTGGATGAGGGAGGGTCGTCCTGGAGACCTGATTGAGGGTCTGTCAAGGTGGGTTTCAATGCTCGTGGCGGGTCTGCCTTGACTCTCTCCACTCGGG